TAAATAAACTGCCCCAATGACAAATTATGGTTGTCTGTGACCATCTGATCTGTGTGAAAGGACAGAAGCATGTCCAAAATACGGGGCTGAGGAGAGCGAAGAGTCAGGATGACCCAGATTTCCAGACTCATCTTGAATATTTAGGAACCCAGGGTGTGTTCGAATACGGCCCTCTGCGGTCCACTTTTTCCACACGCAAATATTCCCCTTTCAGGTGGGTGCTCGGGAACTTAGCGTAATATAGCTGCTCTGTATTCAAAATTAGCCCAGAGGCATATGGTCTCTGAAAAATGTGTACACCAGATTTCCTCACCGTTCACAACTGAGATGGACATCCTCCCCTGAGCTCTCCCCGGGGCTACTTGGAAAGAGTGGCTGGGGATTCTCTCTTAAGTGTACATCGATCGGTAGATTTTCCTGCCCCCCCCCCCATTTCTAGTTGGCTCTGATGGAGACAGATGACAAGAGCTAATCCTTCACGGTTCCATGATCTCCCTCTCCCCCGACACACACACACATACACACACATAAACACACACACACTCGAGCAGACAGTCCATCTGTGTCTTGGGCTTACAGTTGCATGAGTGTTGCCCCAGGGACCTACCAGGGAAAGCTACAGGTTTGAACAGCTCCAGCCCTGGAATCAAAGGCCTTCGTGGGGGGCATTGCCTGTTGCTGGGCCTGGGCAGTTGGAAACCGGTCCCACCAGTGTGGCTAGGAGACCAACGAAAACTCCTCATGGGTTTCTCAGAGTGACACACAAACAGCCAGTTTCCTTTAGGGAGTCAGGAAAGTCAGCCGGGTCAAGGGGCAGGGGGATGACACTAGTGGAGTCATTTAGACATGTGGCCATAGAAGCATAATGTGCTGGGGGAAATGTCACCTTAGACGTTTGTAAAAATTGCTGGGAGTGAAAGACGCACAGAGAAGCCCTTCCCAGGAGAGGGCCCGTCAAAGTCAAGGTGAGGAAGAGCTTGCCAGAGCTATGGTTTAAGAAGCTGAACCCTTGAAAAATGTCTTAAATATCATAAAACCCCATTTAAGAAATCTTAAAGCTTTGTACTCTATCATTCAATAACCTTTACTAGTGCTCAATAAACCTTGCTTTGCTCCCCACCAAAATAATAATAATAATAATAATAAATTTAAAAAATAAATCTTAACAATATGGAATATAGGACAGAAAAGAAAAATCTTAGGTATTGGAATATATCTCATGGAGATTAAGAAGAAATCTTCAAAGAAAACTGTGACAACACAGTCCCAACCAAACCACAATATCTTAGTTAAGCTTTGTAACTATAACTGCCTGAATTAAAATGAAATTATTCAGAAATTATAAGACAAAACATCTAAACAATGACTTCTCTGCCTTGAAAACACAGATTGCACAAATACAGTCTAGCTTAGATAGAAAGATTTCAGACATTCAAGTAATGCTGAATTCTCTCATGTATTCACCTGCTTATTCAGGGATGGAGGAACAGGGTCTATAGGAATAAATAGGTTTCAAAAGAAATGTTTAATAATTAAAAGTTGATTGCACTGTCACTATTTGACCCAGCAATTCCATTCCTGGGTACAGACCTAAAAGAAATAAAGACATCCATATAGCAAAACCTATACACACAGATGTTCGTAGCAGCATTATTCACAGTAGCCAAAATGTGGAAACAACCCAAATGCCCAACAACTTAGGAATGGATAAATAAAATATGGTATATCCATATCATGGACTATTACTTAACAATAAAGAAGAAAGAAGTACTAATACATGTTACAAAATGGATGAACCTTGAGAACATTGTTTTAAAAAAAAGGAAAGCACAGGCCCCAAATGGTGTCATTAGACCGAGTTGCCAAACCAGGCTTAATACATCTAATTGCAGTTTCAACCTCCCCCACAAATGGGGCCTTTACCGGTCATTCAGGAACATTTTTCTTTCCATCTCACCCAGGTCCTTTCCATCCCCCAAAGAAAGATGAGGTAATCTGCATGATAAGACACGTTGCTTTTCCCCCTAGCAAACAGCCTTGTTTGGAACAATCCTTTTCTTTTGCTAACTTTCTTGCTCCCACCCTCCATCCATAAAAACTTTCCTTCCATTCTGTTTTGTATAACTTCTCAGAGTGCAGCTCTACTTGCTAGATGGGGTGTTTCCCGATTCATGAATGATTTATTTATTTATTTAATAATGATGTTTATTGCATATTTTTTATGAAGTCTTTAGATACTTGAGAACATTTTTTTAAAGATTTTATTTATTTATTTTTGAAAGCGAGAGAAGAGAGCATGAGCAGGGGGGAGGAGCAGAGGGAGAGAGAGAAGCAGACTCCCTGCGGAGCAGGGAGCCTGATTCGGGGCTTGATCCCAGGACCCTGAGAGCATGACCTGAGCCAAAGGCAGACATTTCACTGACTGAGCCACCCAGGTGCCCTCATGAACCATTTAATAAAGCCAATTCGATCTTTACATATACTTGGTTGCCTTTTGTTATTTAACGAAATTATAATACATGAGACAAGCCAGTCACAAAAGACCACATACTGTAAGACTGCATTTATTTGAAAAGTCCAGAAAAGGCAAATTTATAGAAACAGAAAGTAGATTAGAGGTTACCCAGTGCTGGGGATGGAGATGCAGAGTTACGTCTAATGGGTAGCAGGTTTCTTTTTGGGGTGATGAAAATGTTCTAAACTTAGATTGTGGTAATAGTTGCACAGTTCTGTAAATACCATGAACTTTGTACCTTTTAAATGATGAATTTTATTGTATGAATTATATCTCAATAAAAGTGTTTAAAAGAAATTTGCACTAACTTTAAAAAATAAAATGAGTTGGGCTTTTAGATTTAATAAAAATCAAGCACAACTCAAATTGGATTAGACTATCAGTAAATGGTTTCTGTAGATGTTGGCAGGAGAGAAGACATGGCTGACCCAAAGAGATGGAGAGGAAGTTGTAGAAGAAAGACTTAATCCAGACTTGGCAGAATGAACTAATTGATGTTCAACAACAAACCACCACTAGAAATTAGAGCTGGGTTCAGGATGTCAGCTCTAGAGACTAGAAATTGACATACAACTTCTAAAAGCATCAGTCCAGACTATGGAATAATAGCTTCATGCAACTACGGTGTATAGCTCTCTGCAGACTTATAGCTGCTACAGAACAAAGCAAAGTAATTCCACCGAATGGATTAGTTCCATATCCTTGTGCCACAGTAAGAATTCAGGTACCAGACAAAGGATACAATTTCCAGTGACAAAAATGTCAGGCCTAATGTTAATGAGCCTCAAAATATACCACAAGATCTCTAATGACCTCCAGTGGTTACAGCTAAAATTGCGTGGTTTATGATACATGAGACTAGAACATGATGTACCACAAGCAATTATGGATGTGGGTTTTGGTCTGTTATTTTATCTTGAAAACTGTAAAGTTGGAGTAAAAGGAAACCTAGCCAATGACTACTATAAAAAGTTCCCTTCCCTGATTTTTAAGCATTGACGAAAGAGCCTATTTTTCGGTGGCCTGTCTTTGCAGCCTCTTTCAACACAGCCAGGAAGGTGTGTCTCCCTCCAGTGACTTGGTGACTCCATCAGGGGCAGTCTCTTAACAACCCACCATGCACCCCCAGATGCAGGAGAAAGCAGACAAGGGAGAAGGTGAGCAAGCAGGTAGGAGAGATGTAATGGCTGACTGAAAGAGACGGGCGAGAGGAAGTGTGAAAAAGAGTGGAAGGCAGGTATTGCCAACTAAAATAAGCCAATTTGGTTTTGCACAACTCCTGATACTTTCTGGAAGCTACCTAAGAACTTCAATGGTTAGCCTCTCCCAACAACCTCACTGCCAGGTTGCAGTGAAAACAACTAACCCCAAATGATGCCATACCTAGAGTTTCCCTAAACAAACCTAGCCAACAAGCCCCAACCACTTCATACAGTCTCCTCCGTGGGCTTGATGAAGTCCCAGCTCTCTGTCCTTTGGGCGAAAGGTTTACTCAATTGAGAAAGTACGGTGTTCCAGAAACAGGATTCTACTATTACCTTCCTTGAGAGCCTCAGGCTACCCCAAATCCCCAGACTGACAACACCATTTGCTTGGGGATAAAGCCTTACAAGCACCTGCTACAGGGCTGGCTGGATTCTTCAACCAGGTCCAGGCATGTTGGAGGGCTCTCTGGAACATGTTCCGTCCCACATCTGAATACCTTTAATTTCACCAAAGAGAGTGCATTTCTAACATTCATCTGACACATGAATGAGTTACTGGCTGTTCTGATAATAACTAATGTCTGATATTTGCTATGCTCATTAGCAAAGTATCTTGTAATAACTGAGACGTTGTGACCTTTCCAACACAATGCTAGCTAACTACCCTTGGAGTATTAATTCATGATCAAAACACTAGCTGTTCTTGCATGCAATTTCAACTAACACTTTCAAATAGCACACCATTTCTGCTGGAGTATTTGAAAGCAAATGACAGACACTCTAGGAGGCCACGGTAAGAATAAGAACAGGACCCATTGGCAATCATGGCCACCGTCAAACAAGTCTTGTGCATATTCCTAAATGTTGCAACCATGGTCACTCCTTGGGTACTTTTCAGATCCATCCATTCGTGTAACAATTATTTATGGACTGCCTATGCGCCAGATATCTACTTGAAATATATTGTCCATCTGTCTGATAGTTCTGAGGAGAATCCAATATACTAAGGGAATGTTAAAAATTCACTGGCTGAAGCTTCTGAGTTTTGCAAAAACCAAACATCCCACTATGGTAGGAAGGTGTTAAAGCCCCCAAGGTTCCGTTTCATCCTCAAGGAGGAAGCAGCACTAGAAGATTCTGTTTATAAACCTTAAAATACCAATTGTTTTATTTGTTCCTCTTGAGGGGGGGAAAGAAACCCTAGAATGTTATATAAACATTTTACTATATTTTATTTCCTTTAAGAACCAATGATAATTGCATCCTTAGGCTACATTTACCTTAACTGTGATTTGGTGCATCGTAAAAAAATCGTGAATAAGAATTCTTGACGTTGTTTGCTGGTCCAGAGGTCAAACCAATGACTTATAAGAGCAACTCTTTCCTGAAAGAGCTGTAAGGGGGAGAAAATATCATTTTCCTGTAGAGTTCAGTCTATTCTTAGTTGCTAACCAATCCTTCAGCAATCTCGCAACCTCACAGCTAATATTTGCACAGCACGTTACAGTTCACAAAGCACTTTTCACTACGTAGTAGGGGTCTCTTCCCACAGCTTAAGCTGCTTTTATCTGGGGATAGAGACAAGCCCAGGCTTGTTGGGTGGGCTGGTGGGAAAGGCTGGCCAGGGGATATGATTACAGTGGGGCCTTAGGAGGGCCCCTTTGGAAAACAAAGAGGTAATGAATCCTGGCTCTTGTTTCTACTTAAACGAATGTGGCCTGGGGAAACAGATTCCAAACATTTCATCTTGAAAACACATACAGGCTACACTTGAATTGTGAAAACAGGACCATTTGAAGTAGGTATGATTTTACTAACCCATGGTCCTACATCTTCATAGTTCCCACCAAAACCAAAGTCAATAAATATTGCTAAGTAGCCATTGTTAGACATGTCTCTAAGGAAGAGATACACCAAGGACCAGGGTCCCCCCAAACCTGGGTTTCAGTCCAGCTTTGCTCAGATGACATATACAAACCCACTGTCTTTCTTACTGGGTCAGGCTTGGGCCCCAGCCCGGCTAGTCTCCTTCCCTTGGGAACAGGCCTGAACCATGCAGGCGCTGTGGGCCTTCTCCATTAAGGGCTGGCAGAGCTGCCTAAGCTTAAGCCATTCAGTGACTACTTACTGACTACATTTCAAAAGAGTGGGCATCCCCAGGCCATCAAACTGAACTGTTGGCATGGGAAGGAAGAGAGAATTAAAGAAATATGCAGAGAATTAATCACACATTAATACTCTCCACACCAAGCACCACCAGAAGCACCTCCCCTTGTCTCCTCCCCCAGCATACTCTGTATTCTGGAAGTTTCTATTTTGTCCCTGGAGGTACAGAGGAAAAGGGAGGCAGACCTTGAGTCTCCCCATAAAGTAGGAGTTGGAGACTGGGGTGAGAAGAGACTGTTTGGGGGGCAGACAAATGCTGGTTTATTTTTGTTTGAAGTAACTCCAAAACTAAATTCTTTAGAGGTTTCGTTGTTGTGTTATATGGCAACATGAGACCCAATATATCACAGTAAAATTGACCTTACAAATTAAACTTGTTTTGTTCTAGAGCATGTAATTTACCTGTCTATTTAATGATTTGTTGCTGAAAGGTGTCCAGGCACTGAATCTTGTGTGGAAGCACTCCATTTCCAAGGTTTTTCTAGAAGAATCCCCAGCTGACATCTCAGCAAATTATTTTCTTCCAGCCCTAAGAAATATAGGTTCATTTCAATAGATGCTTAATGAAGATCACCTAGAAATATCCAGTATATTAATGTTGTCCTTATAGGAATTATATAATTGCAGCCATTCATTTACATCTCTATATTTATATAGATAAAATTACAGCAAATCATATATATACATCTCCATGGAGGATAATCCATACAAATATGCACAGGGAGTTCATGAACTCCAAGTCATTGCAATTTACTCTGTCCTCATCTGTTTGCACCCAAATATGAATCTAAACCAGAGTTGTTTTTCACTTTGCTGGGAAAATGACTCAGAAATTGGAACGATTCTTTACCAGCCAGGAATACTGACTTTTTCTTCCCTGGAAAGCAATAATCTGAAGGGCTTAAAAAGGGCACTCCACCTGCCTATCTTTTTAGGACACAAAGAGGACATAGAGAACAAACCTAGGCTGATGTATTAGTCATCCATTGCTGTTTAACAAATGACCCCAAAATTTAATAACACAAAACAAAACAAAAAACCTTATTATCTCGGAGTTCCCGTGGGTCAGGAATCTATGCACAGCATAGTGGAGTACCTAATCAGTCCGCTAGGGCTGCCATAACTAAATATCACAAACTGAGTGCCTTGAACCACAAAAATTTATTTTCTCACAATTCTGGAAGCTAAAAGTCCAAGATCAAGGTGCTGTCAGGGCTGGGGTCTGGTGGGACCTCTCTGCCTGGCTTGTCCACAACCACCTTCTCTCTGTGTTCTTACAAGGCCTTTCTTCCATGCACAAACCAGGTGGGATGGGTGGGGGATAGAGAGAGAGATCTTTGGTGTCTCTTCCTCTCCTTATAAAAATATCAGTCCTATTGGATTGAGGTCCCACCCTTATAACCTCACTTAACTTTCATTACCTCTTTATAGACTCTGTCTCCAAATATAGTTACATTGGAGGTTAGGGCTTCAACACGAAATTTGGGGGGGGAACCCAATTAAGGCCATAACAGGTACTTCTGCTTCAGAGTTTCTCATAAGGCTGCAGTCAAGACGTTGGCTAGGACTCCAAGCTCACTTGAAGGATTTGAAGCTCTTTCATGTGGTTATTAGCAGGATTCAGTTGCTCATGGTTTTAACCAAAGGATGTTGATAAAGTGAAGATGTGTGACTTCTGGGCCTAAGCCTTAAGAAGATTTGCAGTTTGTCTTTTTGTAGTCTTAGGATGTAACAGCCATGTAAATAAGCATGGGCTAGATTATAGCATAATGAGAGACCATATGGAGAAACAGAGGTTGAGCCAGCCCAAAGCTGTTTCAGCCAACCCAGTCAAAGCACCAGATGTGTGAATGACGCCATCTTGGGTATTCTGTTCCAACTGAGCTCCCAAGTGACTACAACCATATGAATGACCCCAGACTATAACAGGCAGCAGAAGAAATGTCCAGGTGAGGCCAGAAAACCCAAAGAATCATGAAAAATAATGATTTCTGTTTCAAGCTACCTAGAATTTGTTATCCACAGACCGACAGAGCCATGTGCTGGTGAGCATCCAGAATAGTCACATACAGCTGGTGAATATGCAAATTGGTGTAAGTACTTTGAAAAATGGTTTGGCATTATTTGCTAAAGTTGAACATGTGCATACAATTGATTCAACAGAAAAACATGAACATGTGGACGAAATATATCCATAAGCACATTCACAGTTACATTGGATAGCTCTAAACTGGAAACAGTGCAATCATTCACCAGCAGCCGAATGGATAAATATATTGTCATATATCCATGTGCTAGAATGCTGGATATCAATGAACAATCTGCCACTACACACAACAATATGTGTGAATCACACACATAAGACATTAAACAAAGAAGCTGGAAATAATGGACTACATTTTATATGGTTTAATTTATACAAAGTCCTACATGACAGCGTTAGAAGTCAAGACAGTGTCACCCTTGGGGAGGAAAGAGAGGGTATGACTGGGAGGGACATGAGACGTGACTCTGGGATACAGGTCCTGATCTAGCAGTAGGAACCCAGAAGAGTTCACTTTACGATTCATTGAGTTCTACACTTATGATTTGCATATTTTTCTACATCTTCTATTTTGATCAAGAAGCTTTAAAAAAGGATATCATTTATTGGGGCACCTGGGTAGCTCAATCAATTGAGCATCCAACTCTTGATTTTGGCTCAGGTCATGATCTCAGTGTTGTGAGATCGAGCCCTGCCTTGGCTCTGTGCTGGGCATGGAGCTTGCTTAAGATTCTCTCTTTCTCTCTCTCTCTCTCTCTCTGCCCCTCCCCCCAAACTCGCTCTTGCTCTCTCTCTCAAAAGAAAAAAAGATATCACTTATAAAACACCAAACGCTATTAAGTATCTAGAAAAAAATAAAAGTACAAACTTTATGAGTAAAATTATAAAATTTGGGGGGCCTGGGTGGCTCAGCTGGCTAAGCACAACACTTGATTTCAGCTCAGCCAAATATATTAGTCATCTCAGGGTCGTGAGTTCAAGAACCAATCTCTACTAAAAAAAAAAAAAAAAGTTAAAATTATAAAATTTTCTTGAACATTTCTAAAGAACCTAAATAAATGGAGAGATATGTTTTATTCATGAATTAGAGAATTCAGAATGAAGAGATTAATTTCCTCAAACAGATCCACTAATTCAATGCAATTTCAATAAAAAAAAATCCTAAGAGATATTATGGTACATGTGTGTAACTTGAAAAACTGATTCTAAGATATTTATGGAAGTTTTAAAGGGCCAAAAATAGTCAGGTCAGTCTGGAAGAACCAGGGAGAGAGATGTGTTTCTAGATATAAAAACTCACTATAAAGCTGGAGCAACAACATGATGTGGCATTATTATGGAGACAAATATCTAATCCAGGGGAATGGAAGAAAGTCCAAAATAGACTCTTGTATACATGGGTACTTGTTAGAGCATAAGTCAAAGAAGAGATGGATTTTTCCATTTATAGAAAACAGAGCATCTGTTTAAAAAAAGAAGAAATTGGACCTCTTTCCCACACTGTACACACACACATCAACTATCTGAAGGCTTTTTATGTATAAAATCAATTACACATGGTTTGTGAATCCCCAGAAGACAATTAACAACAATGTATGATGTCAGAGAGACAAGATTTTGGATCATCCTAAGTGGGAAAATAATCACTTCAGTGGCGTTAGCTATCTCAGGAGGCTATGTCCATTACCAGTGATATTAAAACACAAATTGGATGACCACTTGTCGGTGAAATTCTAGCTGGGATTCCAGCATCAGAAATGTCTCAGTTTCCAAGCAATCCTCTGTTGCTATAAATTCCAAGAAGAGAGAGAACAATGTGGCCCAGAGTAGCTGAAGAAATTTTATGGTGGAGCCAGAAGATTTTGAGAATAAGACAAACATTTGCAGGTCCTCTATTCTTACCACACTTGAGAGAGATGAAAGCGTGTTTTAAAAATGAATATGTTGGAAAGGCATGTACCAGATTAGGAACTATTTTATTTTATTTTATTTTCAAGATTTTATTTATTTTAGAGAGAGAGAGCGGGGGAGGGGCAGATGGAGAGGGAGAGAGAGAATCTCAAGCAGACTCTCCCTGAGGTGGGACCCTGACCCGGGGCTCGATCCCACAACCCTGAGATCATGAGCCGAAATCAAGAGTTGGATGCTTAACCAACTGAGGCACCCAGGCACCCCGGAATAATTTTGGAAATATTACAGAGAGTAGCATGACAACACTGAATTTGGATCCCTGCTCTGGCTCTCCTTTCCCCCAAGTGAAGCTTTACAAATAATTTAGCCTCTGAGCCTCAGTTTCCTCATGTGTAAAGCAAAGCAATGAAATGCTGTGCCTTGACAAACTACAGTATAATAATGTGTTGTTCAGATAAAAACCTCATGGCAATGTGGGAAATTAAATACCTCCTTCTGAATCAACATTAAATCAAAACAAATCCTTAGTTTCCTAAGATGCCCAGCTGTTGTTATGTGAAATCCCTCCAAGAGCCAACATAAGGAGTTTTGATTTAGCAAGTTCTTAAAAGTGTTATTATCCTCTGTGTTAAAGGATTACTGAGTTACATAATGAGCAGAACATTACAGAAAGAATAGTCACTATCTCTGCTGGTGGGCTTAAATATCTGAGTACAGTACATCATATATAGATAGAGATATAAATATAGAGATAGAGATACAAATACAGAGATAGATAGGGATATAAATTTCCATGAGATTATTTGCATTCTTCTAAGATGTCAATTTTGCTGATTAGTTATTCAACCCAGGGAGAAATGGCATGTTGGCAAGCACTACTTCTTTAAATTGAATGATTTTTTTTCATATTCCAGCATTTTATATTTCTCTAAATAGTAGCTCCATAAAATATTAATAGGCACTTCTCAGAAAAACAGGATCCATGGTTAAATATGCTTAGGAAATGATTGATTGAACAAAATTAAACAAGTTTCTTTTTTATAAGATGTTTTGGAAACCTTAATATGTTGATACTCATTATGAATCTCTAAGAGGAGGAAATAATAAGCAGCATTCTGCTTGTTCATTCTTACAGGAGCCTATCATAATGTGTATTGGCTATGTGATATGGTTATCATGGTGGTTATCTAATGCTGTGTAACAAAGAGTCCCAAAATTTAGTGGCTTAAAATAACAAACATTTATTATTCCACAGTTTCTGTGTCAGGAGTCAAGGCATGGCTTGACTGGGTCCTTTGGCTCACAGTCTGACAACCAAGTTTCAGTTGGGGTTATGGTCATCCAAAAGTTGGACCGGGGAAGGATTCACTTCAAGACTCATGTAAGTGGTTGTTGGCAAGATTCAGTTCCAGACTACTGGAACAGGATCCCAGTTCCTTGCAGGCTGTTGGCTGGAGGATTCCCTTCCATGTGAGCTTCATAACTTATTAGCTTATAAAATGGCAGCTGGTTTCCACCCAGGTGAACAAGTGAAATGGCAAGACAGCGCAGGCAAGATGGAAGTTGGACTCTTTGTGTAACATAATCTCAGAAGCATTACACCATCACTTTTTGATTAGTCAGAACATAGGTCAGCACATGTGGTTGGCAGCCCATATTCAGCCTGCCAACCACTTTTGTAAATAATTGGAATACAGCTAATCACATTTATTTACATATTGTCTATGGTTACTTTTATACTGTAACAGGAAGAATTGAGTAATTAGGGAGAGACCATATAGCCCACAAAGCCAAAAATATTTACTACCTGACCCTTTACAGAAAAAGTTTGGCAACCCCTGCATTAGAAACAAGTCTAGCCCACACTCAAGGGGAGGGGATTCACAAGGGCATGGATATCAGGAAGCTGGAGTCATTGGGAGCCATTTTAGAACCTGCCTACCACATAATGCCTGCATTGATTTGGCACTTGGCAAGTATTTGTTGAATGAGTAGATGAGTAATTGTTCACATTCCCTAATTTTCCAAATTCAAGGGCTGAAAAGTGAGTTACAAGCTAAGAAAAAGCCAGATTCCTTCACTGATTATTAGGATTTGACACCTGTGTCAAAACTGTGACTATCAACTTGTGTAGATCTTATTAGTAATTTCCATCATGATATTAAATGAGGTGGATGATAAAATAACCTTAGAACTGAATTAATACGTATATCTGACAGGTTATTCTTTCACAACATCAGCAAATCGGAGGAAAGGGAAGTATTTTAGGGTGCTCATTTGGGATGTGAATTCTGGGGCAAGAATACTTCTTGTGAACTATGTTTACAATATCGTGGTCCCCAATATCTTCTATTACCAAGAGCAATTCAAAACTTAAGTGTACAAAACCAAATTCTCATCCATTCTTCATCTTTTCCCTGTGCCCTTTCTGCAAGAGCCAAAATACTATACCATGAAGTTCTTCCTTGATCATTTAGGATTTCTCTTGTTCTTACACAAAGCAGCGAGTCACACCTAGAAAAGTAAAGGTCCAGCTGCTGCCTTGCTTATGGCCCAGGTGTCCACTGAATTGAGGCCCCAGTGTGGGTGACACCAACTAGATAGATACCTCTTTCTTACATGACCCTGGAAAACAAGGGCTCTAAATGTTTCTGAAGTGTGTTGCAAGAAGGGAATGAAATAGGAGACCCCAATCTGTGGTTCTTCTCATTTAGAACTAGATCTATTGCTAACAGAACTAGATCTAACATACATACTGTTACAAAATCAAAGTGGGGAGGGAGCCACGTAATAAATGCTGTACTTCTCTTAATTTGTGTTTGAGTGGTTACTCTGACCTGCACTGTGCTAGTAAATCACTTCCCCACACACTAGCTCCTTCACTCCTCACCTTCACCCTGGGAGTTAGATTACAGAGGAGAAAAGCAGGCTAAAGAAAATCATCTGAGGTCAGACAGGGAATAATTAGTTATCAAGTTTAAAAATTATACTGGATCCTCCCTAAAGAGTGAGTGTAACTTAAATTGGATGTATGACTGCTATGGGTTAATTTGGAAATACAATTTCTTTTGCATGGCTGACCACACAACTGGCTATTGAGGAAATCAGCAACTGACACTAGCTCTTCTTTGCTTAGCAAAAATAAAAAAGGGGGGGCGGTGGGCGAGGTGGGGAGGAGCCTGTTGTGCGACAACCAAAACCAGATTAAGGGTTGAGATGGCGGGCAATTGCCAGTCCATAGAGAGAGCTAAATTGTCACTGGGTTAAAGCAGAATCCTACTGTCATTAACTGTTTCCTCAGGTGATTTCTTACACAGGTGGAGACACGTAAATTAGGCTAGTCCTGCTCCACGGTAGGAGACAAAACGACTTGAAGGGAAATTAGAAACAAAACATTGTTCCCTGCCACAGAGGTACCTACATTTGTGTTCTCTTATGATTCACACATGCAAGTTGTACCATGATTCATTTATTCTCTACAGTTTAATCCCTTAAGCATGTTCTATATTTTCAACATTTCAGAGGCTATGCAAAGTCACTTAAACTTTTAAAATATGTATCTGACAATTACTTCCCTGAGAAACTTTTAGATTCTATGCACTGAAAAAAAATTCTATAGAAAGTCTTCCTCTTGCAGCATGAAGAAGGAATAAACTACTAGGAGTGAAGGAAGAAACCCCAGTTTAACCCCTTAAATATGCCTTTCAAGAGTTATCTGGGGGGTACCTGGGTGGCCTGGGACTAGCTTGGGTCTGCTTGAGATTCTCTCTTTTTCAAATAAATAAATCAGTAAAATCTTTATAAAAAAGTTATCTGGTTCTAAAGATTGCAAAAAAGAACCAGAGTACAAGAAAAATTTGTGTGATTAGTGAAAAACAGAAATAAAAGACTAGTTCCGATAAGTTAAATGTCTGTATTCAGGACCTGTAGAAACATGACTTATTTTAAACATGAAATGGCCTATAATTTTTTTTTAATGCACAAATAAGTAATGGATAGTGGAAGTGATGGCATGTTTTGGGGAAATCTGCACTATTGATAGTACAGGAGGTGTTAAGAAATGCCATGTTTGTGAGCCCAAACTGGACATGATCAAATGCTGGACTGGCTGACTGACAAGTAAAACTATAAAATTAGAGCTGCAACAAGAAGCAGCTATTTAAACTCGTTCAGGAAAAATAAACAGGGTTGTTCTAAAACTTTCAAGTCCCTAATCCCTACTTTCTCCTTCTGAAATAAGTTTTAGAGCATGAATTTTGAGGTTCCCCAGGTGCACAAATGTCAAGATGGGCCTGAAAACAGTGGCCTGGGTTGTGCTGAACTTTGATACAGATGATGTCAGGATATTCTGTTCTGATATTTATGGTAAGAATTACTAATAAGCGCAGCATGAGTTTTAAAAAGAAAAATATAGAAAAAATATGTCTTTAATTATTTGTTCTGTTCATCAAATCTTAGCATAGTAATAACTCCTAGAGCGACACAATCCTAACCAGGGCCCGTATTCACCGCAGGTCTGTAGTTCCCCTTCACGCCCCGCGCCCCCCGTCCCCGCCCCACTCCCCACACCGCTGGGACTCCGTGGTAGGAAAGAGGGTGAGAACTGGCAGAAAGAGGGAAGGAGCTGGTGTGAGCCAGTCTGGGGTCGAATGAAAATCCGTGTTTTCCAAAGTGCTCAATAACTTGACTTCATTTCTATCCCTAATGAATGCTCTGGAGGAGGTTCAGTTGCCTTGCCACCGCCCAACTCAAACCTACGCAGATTGATTTTGTTTCTCCGCAGAGCCACTGCAGGGTTTTTTGGATAATTGTGGGGCTGCGGAGGTTCTCAAGGTCATGTGGCGTGGGGGCGGGGGGGGGGGGGGGGGCGGAATGGCAGTGCCCTCCTCAGTGCGGCTTAGGGTCTTCCGGGGTTGCGTGGGGAAGCTAAGCCGGCCCGGGCGCTGTGTCCATGGGGTCCCAAGCAAAAGATGCGCGGCCCAGAAGCAAGGGCTTTACCTCCCGGAGGTGGCCGAGGGACCGGGCCTGGAGCGGCTGCCTCCTCTTTGGACCGCCGAGTGAAAAGCAGGGGTTTGAGCACGCGGCCGCAGCGGGGCGCGGTCTCCATGGGGACGGACAACAACCCCTCCCCCCGCAGACCCGTGCATCAGCGCCTGCGGCTTCGGGACTGCAGGACCCGCGTGCGCCTCCCCCGCCTTCCCCGCCTTAGGGCCCAGCAGCCGGTCTCCCGCCAGGCTGGGGTCCCGGCTCCTTCGCCGTCCCCCAGGGAGCCTAGGGTGGGACCCCTGAGGGCTTCGAGCAGAGGGGCCGACGCCAGGCAGCGGGACCCCAACCAAGAGGAGATGGGACACTGAAGCCAGCAATATTAAAGTCCTGTGATGGGAAACGTGGGGTTTATCTTCAGCAAATCCTCAGACTATTTTGATACTTATTAACAATTTTAGCGTTCTACAGGAGGAACCAAAATCAAAGTAAACAAGTTTAAGGGATCTGGAAGTAACACAAAAAAGGATAAATGGTTTGCTCTGGTAGTATTTTTTTTTTTAATCATCCGTAATTAAAATTTGTCTACAAGGAATATACAACATCTACATAATAAATTTTATTCTAAAAGTTTTTTTTTTTAAAGATTTTATTTATTTATTTGAGAGAGAGAGAGAGAGTGCAGGAGCAGAGGGAGAGGGAGAAGCGGACTGCCCCCTGACCGACTGAGCCACCAAGGTGCCCCTCTTCTAAAAGTTTTATTTTAATCCAGGCACCTTTTTTTTTTCTGTTGCCTTTAATATGTTTAAGTTGTGTGAAAGGGTACAAATGAGATAAACTAAAGTTTTATTACCTGAGGCCCACATGGGGCCCCTTGACACAAAGGACAAATGAACCAAATGAATAAACAAGGTCAATCTGATGCTCTGTCACTAATCCACAGGAAACAGCTTTTGCTTTACTCTGTCTCAGGACCCATCCAAGAAAAACATGTCACATGGCAAAATTTCCTTTTGCTCTGTCGGGTTCTAGAATGCTGTTTCCCCACCCTGGAATCCCTGTCCTCTCAACCCAAGTGAAAAGTTTGGAAGGTTGTATTTAATGTTCTGCTAATTTTCTCATTTTTAAAAGGGGTATCAAAAAGACCCATTAGATAAGTTGGTCAAAATTCTTTGAACTCAGAATGCCAAAAATTACTAAAATCGAGATTTATATCTTTCAATGGTTTCAGCCTCCCACCAAATTAGATGCTTGTTTCTCTATCCTGGAAACAAGGAAGAAGCATGGGCCTCTTCTAAAATGTGAAGGCAACTGAGGTATGATTGAATAAACAAAATGTGGCATATCCACACAATGGGGTATGATCTGGTCATGAAAATGAATGAAGTACTGAGCCATGCTACAACACGGATAAACCCTGAAACCTTGAAAATATTAAGTAAAAGAAGCCAATCATAAAAAATCATGTGTGATTCCATTTATACAAAATGTCCAGAATGGGCAAACCCATAGACAGCAAGTAGATTACTGGTTGCCAATGGCTGGGGGGTTTGAGAAATGCGGAATGACTGCCAATGGGTTTCTTTTTGGAAAGATGGAAGTGATGAAAATGTTCTACAATTAGATTATGGTGACAGGTGCACAACTGTGAATCCAGTAAAAACCACTGAGCTGTACACTTTAAAAGGTGTATTTTATGGGGTATGAGTTAATTATTTCAAAAAAGCTGTGTAAAATGGGAAATTAAACTAATGTTTGCTGTACATTGTTGGTGTTAGCTGTTGTGATAAGCAACTTATACTTTTCTCCTTTCTCCTCATAATCACTACTACTACGAGCTGGTTATTAATTTCATTTTCTGGATGAAAAACAAAAGTTAAACCCAAAGAAGTAAATGTGCATGAACAGAAAGCTAAGGGGCAGGATGGGGATTCAAATCAAGGTCTGACTTTAAAGCCCATGCTCTTTTCATGACTGACACCAACACTGAAATGTGCACAAGGTGCAAAACCTGGAAGAAAATTACAGAACCCAAAATTTTATAAACACAGTGTACTTTTGAGGATTGAATTCTTGTATTCCTAGATTGAAGACTACAGGTTTCTTCAAAATAAAACAATAAAGACTAATTTAAAACAATCACTTTATTAAAAATAGCAAATTTCACAAATACTCATTTACCAGTTTGTTGGCACTGGCCACTGGAAAACACACCAGTGTGTGTACTGATTGTCTAACGTAAACTGAAGCGGGGCTGCCCCAAGAAGCCTGTGCATCATCAACTTATAATCAACATGGGAATAAGTTTGGTGAGCTCAGGAAGGATAAACCTTCAGCCCTATTAATAACATTTTGCTCAATGCATTTCAAGTATAACCCCTGTAAGGCAACAATAGAAAGCACAGCAGCACAATCTCTGCATCACATTTCCTGATTAAGCCTTCAACAAGGCCTAGGCTCCAGTTATGGCAAATAACAGCAAGGCAAATTCACTAAAAGCAGGAGTGAAATCAATCATTGCACTGGCACTTTAATTATGTCATTCCTTATTGTGGAAGATGATTCTGCTATTGGATTCAGCTGGAAAAGTAAAGAATGCTGCTCATCTTCAAGCCATGAGAAAGCGACCACATGTCATTTTAGCTGGTAGAAGTATTTGGAACATCCTGGGCATCTGCCAAATGTAGTTTTTGTCTGAGTTCATCAGTTAAGAAGATTTTCATTCTGTAATGAGTACTTCTTTTAAATCATGGGAAATTACACTCAGGAGGAGCTAAGAGAGAGAGGTATTAAAATAAAGGAAATATGTTTAAAGGGAAAGTGCCTATGTCGCTGAGAAACCTGGATGTGATAAGACAATTTTTAAATATCGTGAAGCAATTATATTATATCCAGAATTTGAAGACTTAAAAACAGTCACTAAATCAAGATTATGTTTCAGGTTCTAATACAGCACAGAATTATTTTAATGTGGCAAGAATGATTTTCATGGTAAGGAACTGGTGAGAGGCAAATATGAAAACTTACCAGATTAAAAAACAATCATTTGAGAGGACACCACTTTATCATCCTTGGGAAAACAATTTCTTTGTAAAAGTCAAAAACAGAATCATCATAGGTCTAAAACTTTTCCTATAATCCTCTGAATTATTTTTTTAAACAAGATTTTATTCATTTATTTGTCAGAGAGAGAGTGAGCAAAAGCAGGGGGAGTGGCAGGCAGAGGGAGAAGCAGGCTCCCCACTGAGTAAGGAGCCTGATGCGGGACTCGACCCCAGGACCCCGGGATCATGACCTGAACCAAAGGCAGATGCTCAACCGACTGAGCCACCCAGGAGTCCCCCTCTAAATGATTCTTTAAGAAGATTGGAAACAGGTTGGAATTCCTGTTTAAGTTGTGTGAAAGGGTACAAATGAGATAAACTAAAGTTTTATTACCTGAGGCCCACATGGGGCCCCTTGACACAAAGGACAAATGAACCAAATGAATAAACATGGTAAATCTTATTGGCCAATAAGGTCAATATTATTCCCTTTCCTTCTTATCATCATTGCCTTTCATTTTCCTTTTTCATCTCTCTGTATGATCCACCCGCTATCCATTTTTTCAAGACCCAATTCAAACAATGCTATGGATACACTGAGAACAACTAAATGCTAGCAATACACATACGGCAGAGGTTGCTAAATTATACAGACATGAGTATTGCCATCAAAGACATTGTCCAGTTGGAAAGCTGAGATTTAACGTATACAAAAATCAACAGATAATGAAGTAGAATGCTAGCTCAAGGTACAAATAAAATGCTTTATGGAAGTGGTCAGCTTTGGTGTTATTTGATAAGGGAAAGGGGGAGGCCAGAGCAACTCTAGGTAGGAAGTACAACCTGAACAAAGGCATTAAGATAAGCATGAACATGATGTGTTCTTAGATATCCAGAGAACCAGCCTAGTGGTAATGAAAAATAATGTAAAATACAAGAGGATATGTAGGTTGAGATCATACTACTGAGAGCCTTTAGAAAGTCTGAAATGGGGGTGCCTGGGTGGCTCAGTTGTTAAGCGTCTGCCTTCGGCTCAGGTCATGATCCCAGGGTCCTGGGATCGAGCCCTGCATCGGGCTCCCTGCTCAGCGGGGAGCTTGCTTCTCCCTCTCCTACTCCCCCTGCTTGTGTTCCCTCTCTCGCTGTGTCTCTGTCAAATAAATAAATAAATAAAATGTTTAAAAAAAAAAGAAAGTCTGACATGGTGAAAAACTTGGTCTGAAATAGGAATGGCAAGATGAGAGTGATATTTTTAGGAAGAATAATTTAGTGGTATTGTCTAAAGTCTACAGCAGCACTGTCCAAAAGAAATTTAATGCACATCACAGATACAATTTTTAAAATATATTTAATTTACACTAATATATCAGAAAACTATCATTTCAGCATATAATCATTATAAAAGTATTGAGATATTTTACATTCTTTTTTCCATATTAAATCTTTGAGGTCAGGTATACAAATTATAGTTCTAGTACATTCCAGCCCATATTAGCTGCATTTCACGTGCTCAGGAGCCACATGGCTCGTGGCTGCCATATTAGTGCAGCTCTGGAGCTGGAACAGAAGAAATTTGAAAGGTTATGGGATAAAGTTATGAGGGTAAGGAATGAAGGAAGAATAAAAGACAGAGCTGATGGTGCCTGACAACTAACTGTGATTAAGAAGTGGCAAATAATTTCCTGCCCACATCCAGGCTCAATGGCAGATAGTGCCATGACTGAGTAGCAATGTCTGCCATAGTCACAGAAGGAATTTAAATAATCTTGGAGACTGAAATAACAGAGGCAACTGATGACAGAGAGGGAAGGTAGGAGGGAAATTCTGAATACAGAGAGAACAGTTATTACAAATGAGGAAACTAGAGTTGCCAAACTTTGCCCAAGGTTACACACATGCTTACCAAGATTTGAAACCAAGCAATTCAAAGCCCATGCTCTTGTATTCTATCATGTAATCTTGTTCAACCGTGGTGATTGAATCAGGCAAAGTGGTAAATCAACCTAAATGTTTAACAAAAA